CAAGCTCTGATACCAATTGTTGGACCCTAGAGGGGGGGTGATTAGGGTCAAGAGGCTCTAATATGCAATTTAAAACTCAGCACAAGCAAACCACAAAACAGAAGTGCAATCAAATAGAAAGAGATAGAGTTAGGAATCGTTATCCTTGACGCGCGATGTGTTAACGAGGTTCGTGAAAATATAAGCTCTGAGAAAAACAACGTCACTGGTTTTTGCAAAAGCTGGGACACTGAGGAAGAAGAAGAGGTGGAGTTTAAATAGGAGAAAAACAGCTGTTTAAACCCATCCCTTAATCCCCCAAAATCTGGAACAAATCGTCGCTGAGATCTGTACTCAGCGGCGCTGAAAAAAGGACACATTTTACCGTTTAAATAATACGGCGGTCGACCGACGGAAATTTCGGTCGACCGCTATACAGGTCGAAAACTAGAAAAACAATCAGAGACTTGTCCGGTCGACCGGTGCGGTCGACCGAAGGAAGCTCTCGGTCGACCACGGCGGTCGACCGACGAACTCTCTGGAGCCTACTGTCGAAAGAACAAACGAGTGGTGGTGCGGTCGACCGCATTCTGATACATTTCAGACAAACAGTTTTGACTTAACTAAAATATTTGGAAAATATTTATTTGACCTCTGAAAATTATGAAACTTTGTAAAATGTTTTTAATACTAAAAACAAACTGTTTGGAAAAGGAATTTTGTAGATAGGTCCTCATACTTGTGAAAAATAGTATTTTGTGAAAAACGCTTAAAAACATAAGTATGAAAACATGTGTGTGATATCCCAATAGCTTCAAGTGAAGTCAATAACTCTTTACCTACATTCTAGCACTAGAGAGAAAAACAAAAGATAACTAATATCCTCATATGAAATGCAATGCTTGAGTCTTGATATAGCTTGAATTTGATGAAGCTTCTATTTGAATTTGTTGTTCTTGAAATAACGTTGCTTCATCACTATGCCTCCTCCTCCTTTGGATATCATCGTTGTAGCGCATATTCTATCCAATCCTCCATTTGTGGTACTAACAAGCTTGATATATGATTTCACTACATTTGTACTTAATAAGCCATTAGTATCGATAATGGTGGTTGTAAAACATCATCAAAACATAAGGGCTAACAAAGGAGACTGACTGATGCTTGGACTGATATTGCTAGCAACATAGACTATTAAGGGGCAAGAGTCATGGGAAACTGCTCTGGAAGGTGTTTCCCAGAGGATATGGGAAAGTGACAGTACTGCAGAGGGACTATCACTAATGACACGAACCTTTGCATCACATTTTTCAGCAGAAACAACAACCCCATCTTGAACAAACACATTAGATACCGAAGAAATATGAGAGGTAACCTGTTTTAAAAGTACGGCAGCATCCTTCTCCTCTGCCACATGAAACACAACAGCAGCACCATCAACCACAACGACGGCGGTGGAAGGAAGAGATCCCTCATCAGAAGACGGCGAGTTGGACCAATAGGCCACGACGACCTGAGCAACTCCAATGTTGCCGCAGTTCCGGAGAGCCTTGTTGCTGAGCTGGCGAACGAAATTTGGCGGAAACTTGAGGATGAGAGCTGAGGAGAGGCCGTAACTGTTCAAAAATAGCGGTTTCTTGAAGGATTTTTTCTTCTTCTTGCTTGAGATTGGCCGTGGCGATTTCTTGAACTTTGGCTTAACTACTTTGATAAGGGCTTTTCTTGTATCTCCATCAATATCAAGAACCACTGGCTTCTTGTTCTGGGCATCATAAGCTTGAGCATTCGCAAAGAGTCGAGCATGAAAGCTTCTGGTAATTGGACGTGAAATTTGATTCAATGGCTTCCCTTCGACGACTGCAGGACGAGCGCTAATGACATTGCGTATGTCTCTAAGGGGTCGGCGATTCTTGTCTTCTTGAGCACCAACAACATTCTTGGCTTTTGCTTTTGGTATACCTTCACCAAAACTGTGTGATGGCTGAAATTCTCCACTTCGCCACATTTCTGTAGACCTATTAGGGTTTCTGCCATGCCTCATGTAGTCAGAAGTGTTGCCACTCCTTGATTCCAAGCCATTTACTCGACAAGATGTCAGACTCTTTGTGGATCTCAACGGCTCACTGAAGCATTTCGTCGAACACTTTTGTTGGGGATAAGAGCCTATGGGTTTGAAGGACAAGGAACTCTGAGATGGCTGAAATTCTTCATTAAAATTGGAAATTTGTATGGCTAATCGACAACAACCATCATAAATGTTGCGCCCTTGTAGAGAATTCATTGCGTCCACCGCATTTTGATGGGATTGAAATTGTATAAGAGCTTGACAGCCAACTGTCTCCTCAAGAATAACGATCTTCTCTACAAACCCATATGGAGAAAACACTTGATGCAACACTTCCTCCGTTATAGGATAGATCATTGTGTGAATGGTGACGACGAGGATTCAATTGGGTTGCAAATCCTGATCTGTGAAGCTCTTGCTCATTTCTTGGCTTGGATTCTTGGATTTCTTGAATTCTTGAACAAATTTCTTGGCTTGGATTCTTGGATTTCTTGAATTCTTGAACAAAAATCTGAAACTGAGAAGACAACTCATCCATGGCTGCCCTCAATTGATGTTGGGATCGACCAAGCTCGGAGAAGGATCGATCATGCTCTGATACCAATTGTGAGGCTCCGAAACCCCTGCTCATCTTCCTGAGCCCATTCACGGCTATGGCTGTGTCTGTGGTGAAATTTGAGAGAAAATAGAGAAGGAAATTGAGAGAAATTTAGACAAGAATTGAAGATTGAGATAGAAAGAGAAAAAGGGAACATGAGTTGAGTTTGAGAAGAACATATTCTATTTCATTTCTTTCATAATCCTTTTGATTTACATTTCCTCTACTTATACCAATCGACTATAAATCCTAAAGTTACGGACACGTGCACAACAGAAACATGCACAAACACTGTTAACAGTAAGCAGAAACAGAAAACAGTTGTAACAGAACATTTATTACAAGCCATTGGACTTTTAAAGTCTTTGCAAGTCACCCCAACTTTGCGTATCAGCCCCCCAAAGCTTGTATATCAGTCCCCAGCTCTCCAAGCCACCGGTCTTCAAGCTTCCAAGGTCCTTGGCTCAATTGACAGAGCCCCTGGCTGTTCATTAGGTCCTGACAATTCCCTCCCCTTAAATTGGACCTTGTCCCAAGGTCCAATGTAGGAAACCTTACAGTCTCCAACAAACCTCTAGCTAGCTCAAAACTGATTACACCACTGAAACCAGTCATTTGTTGCTCGGCACAAGCAAATGTAGGAAATTGTTTAACAAGTTCCCAGTAAGGTTCCCAAGTTGAATCTAATGAAGTGCGCTGCTTCCATTTGATGAAAACTTGAGATGTCAAGCGATTCCCTTTGACAACCGACCTCATGTGCAGAATTTGCTCTGATTCATCAACTATAAGCTTGCCACTGTTAACATTGATCTAGAAGGACGAAATCTCATTATTATTTAAATATGACAATAAGACCATGGCAAGTGCTAGCGGATCAATAGGCGAAGGACCTCTGCTGAAAACAGGCAAGAATTTTCCATCCCGATCGCCTTCCAGAAAGTGATAAGCGGCGTGTCCTGGAGACAGCCTCGATATCAATGGAATTGCACCGGTGCTGTCAGCGGAAGCATTGATCACAGAAGCAGGTTTCTTTAGAAACTTTTTTGCAGGACCTCTAGTTCTGAAAAAGGAAACAACACAATCAGAACTCAAAACAACTCCAGCATCTTGAGTCACCAATGCCTGACAAAGATCAGAACAGGTCCGAATAGTGTCTTCCGAAGCAAACAAAAGAATCAAAGAATCGCCAGCCTCAAGGAGCCTGACAGCAAGTGGAAGGCCTCCCCTTGTAGATATTAAAGAAGCAGCCAAAGCAGCTAAGGCATCTCTGATAGCATTAGCATCAGCGAAAGCTCTACCACACAAAATAAGGGATGAATGCTCTATGTCGGCTGCTACAAATCCAGTAGAGGCTCGTGTTGCAAGACAAGGAGCCTGACTGATGCTTGGACTGATATTGCTAGCAACATAGACTATTAAGGGGCAAGAGTCATGGGAAACTGCTCTGGAAGGTGTTTCCCAGAGGATATGGGAAAGTGACAGTACTGCAGAGGGACTATCACTAATGACACGAACCTTTGCATCACATTTTTCAGCAGAAACAACAACCCCATCTTGAACAAACACATTAGATACCGAAGAAATATGAGAGGTAACCTGTTTTAAAAGTACGGCAACATCCTTCTCCTCTGCCACGGAAAACACAACAGCAGCACCATCAGCCACAACGACGGCAGTGGAAGGAAGAGATCCCTCATCAGAAGACGGCGAGTTGGACCAAGAGGCCGCGACGTCCTGAGCAACTCCAATGTTGTCGCAGTTCCGTCGAGCCTTGTTGCTGAGCTGGCGAACAAAATTTGGCGGAAACTTGAGGATGAGAGCTGAGAAGAGGCCGTAACTGTTCAAAAATAGCGGTTTCTTGAAGGATTTTTTCTTCTTCTTGCTTGAGATTGGCCGTGGCGATTTCTTGAACTTTGGCTTAACTACTTTGATAAGGGCTTTTCTTGTATCTCCATCAATATCAAGAACCACTGGCTTCTTGTTCTGGACATCATAAGCTTGAGCATTCGCAAAGAGTCGAGCATGAAAGCTTCTGGTAATTGGACGCGAAATTTGATTCAATGGCTTCCCTTCGACGACGGCAGGACGAGCGCTGTTGACTTTGCGTATGTCTCTGAGGGGTCGGCGATTCTTGTCTTCTTGAGCACTAACAACATTCTTGGCTTTTGCTTTTGGTATACCTTTACCAAAATTGTGTGATGGCTGAAATTCTCCACTTCGCCACATTTCTGTAGACCTATTAGGGTTTCTGCCATGCCTCATGTAGTCAGAAGTGTTGCCACTCCTTGATTCCAAGCCATTTACTCGACAAGATGTTAGACTCTTGGTGGATCTCAACGGCTCACTGAAGCATTTCGTCTAACACTTTTGTTGGGGATAAGAGCCCATGGGTTTGAAGGACAAGGAACTCTGAGATGGCTGAAATTCTTCATTGAAATTGGAAATTTGTATGGCTAATCGACAACAACCATCATAAATGTTGCGCCCTTGTAGAGAATTCATTGCGTCCACCGCATTTTGATGGGATTGAAATTGTATAAGAGCTTGACAGCTAACTGTCTCCTCAAGAATGACGATCTTCTCTACAAACCCATATGGAGAAAACACTTGATGCAACACTTCCTCCGTTATAGGATAGATCATTGTGTGAATGGTGACGACGAGGATTCGATTGGGTTGCAAATCCTGATCTGTGAAGCTCTTGCTCATTTCTTGGCTTGGATTCTTGGATTTCTTAAATTCTTGAACAAAAATCTGAAACTGAGAAGACAACTCATCCATGACTGCCCTCAATTGATGTTGGGATCGACCAAGCCCGGAGAAGGATCGATCATGCTCTCATACCAATTGTGAGGCTCCGAAACCCCTGCTCATCTTCCTGAGCCCATTCACGGCCATGGCTGTGTTTGTGGTGAAATTTGAGAGAAAATAGAGAAGGAAATTGAGAGAAATTTAGACAAGAATTGAAGATTGAGATAGAAAGAGAAAAAGGGAACAGGAGTTGAGTTTGAGAAGAACAGATTCTATTTCATTTCTTTCATAATCCTTTTGATTTACATTTCCTCTACTTATACCAATCGACTGTAAATCCTAAAGTTACAGACACGTGCACAATAGAAACGTGCACAAACACTGTTAACAGTAAGCAGAAACAGAAAACAGTTGTAACAGAACATTTATTACAAGCCCTTAGACTTTTAAAGTCTTTGCAAGTCACCCCAACTTTGCGTATCAGCCCCCCAAAGCTTGTATATCAGTCCCCAGCTCTCCAAGCCACCGGTCTTCAAGCTTCCAAGGTCCTTGGCTCAATTGACAGAGCCCATGGCTGTTCATTAGGTCCTGACACCTTAGGTTAACAGTAACAATATACAAAATGCTAATCACCCAGACAAACATTAAGTTTATAGAAAAAAGCCAAAAATACTCCAAAATATTATCAACAAACATGTCCTTCGAGGCTTTCAAATTGGTTTTGCTGCATTTTTCTTCTCTTGTTGAATTTGTTATTCTGCTTCCCTCAATTGTACCCTATTAGTAGAAACATTATCCCTATCTTGTTTTCTTGGTATGCTGTAAGTTCTCCTCATAGGCTCGCTTGATGTTCCTTCTGATGGACTTCGTGTGTACATTAGTCTGTGGGATTCTATGAGTGCGGGGACTTGTGAAGGGATGTTGGTTTTTGTAGGGGGATTCTGCAATAAATACAATAAGAGAAAGATAGAAACATACCACATTTAATTAACAAACCACCTAAATTATATTGGTTTGAGTGTCCCCTATGTTACTCACTTACTAACACTCTGCATCATTAAAAATATGGGTGAAAAGCATCAAATATTTTAAAAAAACATATTGGTGAAAATTTAAAAAAAAATATATAGGAAGAAATATCCCCACGTGAACTTCCTTGGCCTACCACTTTTCATATGTGGAACTCTAGTTTGCGGTTAATTCTTGCTAAGGCAATTCTTATTGTGCCCCTTTTGTCCATAATCATGACTACACTTGGTCTACATTTTTCTCATTTTCACTCTTGAGTTGGATGCAACTTGCTCTCCAGCCTCTCTCCTTCTTTTCTTTTGACTTTCTAGGCATCATCCTTATTTGTTGAGGAGTTAATTGAGGATTTCCTATATTGGGCCATTTCATGTCAAAGAGAAGTGAGACATTCTTGTCGTAAGCTACAATATGAGACCCTTTTGTGTAAACCTCATGTAATATTGTTCAATAGCCAAACTCCTTTTTGGCCATGGCTACAACTCCATGAATACAAGGAAAGGCTCATTGAGTTGCCATTTGTGGTATCCAAAACTTAGTGTTTTCAATTGCACTATGTAAGTATCCTCCTCTTTATATGTTACCTCCAATTTGTCAACCCGTCCAAATTCAGTCCTACAACACTTTTCTTGAGATATTTTAATATTTTTATAAGCGTTTGCACTAGAGCCCTCTCCATGTTAGCAATGATCTCTTACTTTGAACCTGCTCATATGCATTCTCATAATGAACTCCATACAAGTGAGAATAGATTTGTCTCCTTGCATCAATAATCATTTTTTTTAATAGTTCACACATATTATTCAAGAAGCAATCTGATTTGGTGCTTTCCCTGAATGCATGCGAGCTCTAATGTGCATGATCATCAGTTATGAGATAATTGCAAGCGCCCTCATCGATCCATATATTTGAGCAATTTCATTATCTCTTCAAAGTCATACTTAGTTGAAGCTCTACAAGCCCTCCACATTACATTTTTAAAAGCTTTTCATGGAAATTTTTGTTTGAAGTTGGCATGTATATGCCTAAAAAAAATCTCACCTCAGCTATTGGAACTACAATCTTCAGAGCTTCAAGTAACCCGTACACAGCAAAACATAACTATTTTTAGTATGTAGTCCCAAAAGTCAAAAGTTTCAGTGTATAATCATTGAAAATGGACATATTAATCCTAAAGACCAATACACTTTTATTTTCCAGAACCACCTTAATGATTTAAAATTTTCATATTGACCACCTTTACTTTACATTATCAAAGTCAATGCCAACTTGAATTAACAATTACAATTAGTTAATTTTATGAATACCACCTTAACATGCACATGACAACAACTTGATATATGCATAAATCTTCACGACAGGAATAAACTGCAAATAAAATAAAAATAATTTCAAAAGATAATGTGCAACTAGAGTTGAGTATACTATTTGCCTATCTGACATGAATGCCCATCCATGTTGCTCCATCGGCCCCAAATCATGTATAAGTTGATCAATAAGCCGTGTACATACCTCTTTGTTCTCAACTTCCACAACTGCGTATGCAATAGAAAAGATGTTGCCATTACTCATTATTTCCCCTGTATATGCATCTTCCAAATGACGACCACCAATGTCAATAAGTCGCGCACAATCTTGCTTTGCATGCTGCCAGATATACATATAGTCTTTGAAAGCTTGGTCATGGTATTCTGCTTATATCATTCACTCTGATGACAACTGAGCGTCCAGAATTTATTCTAAATATCTCAGATGCATAATCTCATACTCTTTCATGGTAGTCACTTGCAACTGTTGCGCGCAGCGGAAATTTCGGCAGCACAACAAGAGTTAGGTCGCAATAAGAATTCTTGTTTCTCAAAGGGAACAAGAATCTGAAGCCTAATATCCTATCAAAGTAGGATATTAGCTCTTCCTCTCGTCAGCTCTAGGACTGCGCGTCGAGGGAACCTAAAAAGCTATTACAAATCACACAAAAGCGATACAACCAATTTTTACGTGGTTCGGCAAATTGCCTACGTCCACGGGGCAAGGAAGGGGGAGATCTACTAATAGAGGGAGAGAATACAACTAGGGTTTACAATCACTCAATCTAAACCCTCAAACAAACTCTCAAATCCCTCACACAAATATCTCTCAAATGGATGCACAAAACCCTAAAAGAGACTACACAAAATCTCCTCAACTGCAGCCGCACAAAACCAAGCCTTGCTCTGCGCCTCTGTTCCGCAGTCACCAAAGAAAACAAAATCTCCTGCTCAGCACTTGCGCACCGAAAAAGAACTCAGCCTCTTCTTTTTCTTTTTCTTTGCACGCCGTTCTTCTGCCCTCGACCGCTTGCACAAACTTCAAAACAAACCCTAGCAGGCTTATTTATAAGTTGTAGTTGCGGTGTGGGCCTTTCCGCACCTGGCCTTTTTTCACGAGATTAATCTCTCACGTGGGCGAGATTAGTCTCTCACGTGGGTGTTTTCTCGAGAACCAAAACGAGAGTCCAAACAATCTCACCCCCCATCAACTAATACCAAACCGGCTGCATCTGAAAGACTGCCTACGTATCCTCTTTCCCAAGGAATCAAGCCGAACGTAGTTCATCCAAATGGCCGTCAACGGCCTCAACAATCACGAATATGCAACAAGTTTCGACAATGATCAAACTTGTTGCTCGGAACCACCTTAGTGAGCATATCTGCCGGATTATCCTTCGTGTGGACTTTAACAATCTCCACATCGCCATCTTCAAGAACATCCCGAACAAAGTGATAACGAACGTCAAACCTCTGCGATATACCAAGTTCCTCCAAAAGTCCTCGAAGCCAAATAGCCTCCTTCACAGCCTCCGTAACTGGCATATACTCTGCCTCCGTCGTAGACAAAGCCACCGTCGACTGTAAGGTGCTTCTCCAACACACCGGCGCACGGGTCAAAGTAAACACATACCCCGTAGTAGACCGGCGCTTATCCAAATCCCCGGCATAATCCGAATCAACATAACCAATGCATAGCTGCCCACCTGTAGTGTCCCGTTCATAAACTAAACCAACATTGAGCGTACCTCGAATGTACCTCAAAATCCATCTCACAGCGTCCCAATGACCTACTCCTGGATCGTGCATGTATCTCAAAACCATGCTTACCGCCTGTGACAAATCCGGCCTCGTACATACCATCGCGTACATCAAGCTCCCAACCGCGCTCGCATATGGAGTCTTCGACATCAACTCTCGATCTTCAACTGACTTCGGTGAAAGACCAGCTGAAAGCTTCAAATGGGCTCCCAATGGTACACTAACTGGCTTCGTATCCATGCTAACATGGAATCGCTGTAGAACCTTCTTCAAATAAGCCACCTGTGTCAAACAAAATTTTCCCTTCTTCTTGTCTCTGCCAATCTCCATCCCTAGCTAACATGGAATCGCTGTAGAACCTTCTTCAAATAAGCCACCTGTGTCAAACAAATTCTGCCCTTCTTCTTGTCTCTGCCGATCTCCATCCCTAGAATGCGCTTCGCCTCACCCAAGTCTTTCATCTCAAACTCATTTGATAGTTGAACTTTCAACTCATCTATAGCCGACCTGGAAATAGAGGCAACCAACATGTCATCGACATAGAGCAACAAATAAATATACGCACCTCCTTTCAACTTGCGAAAATATACGCAAGGATCAAACTGGCTCCGAGTGTACGAATGACCAATCATAAAACCATCGAATCGCCTATACCACTGTCGAGGAGACTACTTCAAACCGTATAGCGATTTCTTCAGTCTGCAAACCAATTTTTCCTTCCCTGCAGGTCAGAATCCCAATGGCTGAGTCATATATATTTCTTCATCAAGATCACCATGAAGAAATGCCGTCTTCACATCCAACTGATCTAATTCCAAACCATACTGTGCCACCAAAGCTAGCAGAATCCGAATCGAAGAGTGCTTCACCACCGGAGAGAAAACCTCATTATAATCTATTCCTTCCTCCTGTGCATAGCCCTTCGCAACCAACCTA